CCGGGACGCAGCGAGGGGCGGAGCGCGCTCGCCCAGCGCCGTGACAGTGAGCGGCTCCGGGCCCCGGCCCCGCAGAGCTGCCCGCCCGCCCGCTGCGGGCCCGCCCCGGCCCCCGCCCAGGGCCCGCACTTAAGTCTCGGCGCAAGTAGGATCTCGCAGGAGTTTCACTCCTGGGCTTGTGCTGCTCCCAAAGGCATTTTCGGTGGCACGTCCCAAACTCTTTAGATTTTTGATCCCTAAGAGCAGTGGTGGTGGTTTGGAACATGAGTTATGTCCTGCTTCTCCAGCAGGTAGCAGCGTGCTGTCTCTGAAACTTTCCAGCCAGCTCCCCTCGTAGTAGCATATGCGAAGGCACCTTCTGTGTACTGGCTTGTGCCCTGGCAGACAGATAAATACACAGTCTGCTGTCAGTTTCTCTGTAGATCACGTATATCTCTGCTTGTATCCTGATACAATACACTGCCTTATGCTGTTTCCAGGATACGTTGCCTTTTCATCTTCTCTCATGCAATTTCATCTGGGACTTAGGTGTCCTGTAACACCTAGTTAGATGGGGTTGTCATTTTACATACAATTAATGCATGCATCTATAACAGTGATGCAAAGGTCTTTGTTAATGAAACTGTTGTTGCACAAAAGATGAGAGGAATGATTAATAGAGAAGGGTTGGACTGTTGAAGAAAGGGAAAGTGTAAGGGTTGAAAGCCATAGAGGAATACAAAATGCAACACTACCTGGGAGCGCAGTTCTTGAAAACAATAGTTAACCTATAACACTTTAAAGTACAGTCTCAGGCTTTCCCTTGGGTAGTTACTTTAGTGGGCCCAGCAGAAGTTTACTGACACTTGTTGAATTGTCTATAGGATTTTTTTATATACTGTGGCCTATGTGCTGTCTTGTGTCCAGTGCTTAAAGTTGTGGGAAAAGAACAGTGGCTCCTTATGGGAGATAATACCTCTGGAGTAACAGTCGCTAGGGAGCACCAGGAGAGGGAGTAAGTAGCTCACTGGCTGAGGTAGTCCCGAGTAAGTTCATAAATTTTATTTCTATTCAGTAGAGAGACAAAGAAGCTGGTAGTTTTTTTGAAGTGTGTTTCAGAACTGAGCCAACTGGCACTGCCAAGGTTGCAGCAGTGTCATTTCCTCTGCTTTAACTGGAAGTGGTAAATAACACTCCATATTGTATTACTGGAAATAGCAGATAACACTGAATATTGTAGAGTAAGGTCAACCTTAGGCCCAGAGAAAAATTCTCTCAGACCTTGGTACTTCTGCAATTCTTGCACAATGTGTGACAAATCATCCAGAGACATTTATAAAACTTTTGTACTAGCATCTCTTCAACATCAGTTGCCAAACTGCCCACTGAATGCTACACGCAAACGTAGAGGTTGTTCTCATGGTGTGATGTAGTGACTTACTGTAAAGATTCAATGTCTCTGAAGTACTCGAAGTCAGTGCTTTGATGCTGTCCCAGAAACCTATATGAGCTGTAATTCAGAGATAACTGTGTGCTGTGTTTTAGAGCCAACGTTGACTTTATATTTTGTCCTGTTTGGACTACATGGGCTGCTGTTATTGGAAGAAATAATAAACCAGCTGTACCTACCGCATGTGCTGATAAGTGAAGACCATTTCAGTTGTGACTTGACTCTTGAGCTTTAACTGAGCTCCACATGGAGCATAAAATGCGTTTCTCTATTTAAGTTCAAATCATGGATTATCAGGCCTCCGTGGTAAAATGTCAAGCTCTGGGAAAAGACCTCCTTCCTAATAGAATTTCTGGCAACTCTCTTGGGAAATCGGAACTAATAAATTAGTGTCTCAGAATATAGTGTCACAGTTGGATTAAAAAGGTAGGGGAGGGAGAAAAGGTGAAGGAACTTGAGTGTACCAGAGAGAACTTCTCATATAATTTAATAGATCTGACCTGCATTCCCCTTTGCCAGTTCTGCCTTTTCAGGAGAGACCAAGTTTCTGTGGATTTTTTCCCTTACACAGTTTCACACAGACTGATATGTGTCCTCCATAAAAAGTAAAGAGGGAAGATTTTATTTGTGTTTTTTTGTTTTTTTTTTCTTTTCATGTCTATGGAGCCATTGGAATCATTATCACCTAGCTGTTTTCACTCTGGGAATAGGAGATAGAACATTTTGTCTGTTGGCTTTATGGACCAAATTATAGTCATTTGGTCAAAGAGCAAAGCTTTTAGAAGCCTCCATGTAAAGTGTGTGCTGCTGCTTGCTGCTCAGGCTTCTTAATCTTCTGCCTGAATAGCATAGTGCAAGTGGAAAATGCTCATTGCATAGATTTTCCCATCTGTTCTACACCAAAGTTGTTTGACTACTTTGTCTGGGTCTTGTTAAGTTGATGTGAGCCTATGGGACAACTATTCTGGCTTGGGACTAATTGCCCTCTGTCCGGTCAGTTGTAAGGTTCCTGTTGGTTTTGATGTTGGACGTTCCCAGCACAGGGAAAATTGATTCATGTTTTTAATCATTTAGTTTGAATGATTTTTGGTTATTTACGTGAAAGGTTGGTTCTCTTTGTGAATTTTCACAGAGTGAGAAAACCTTTGGGCTCTGTTGGATTTCAAGAGTTAATCATACTTGGGGATTCACGAGTTTCTTGAACTAGTTAATTGCCTTTTTTTATTATGTATATATTTTTTTTTGTAAGAGATGTTGTCCATCATTTGATCCAATTTTAGTGGTGCTTTCTGGAAAGTACCTTAAATGTTTTACACCCAGAGCCCGAAGTCTGTAGGTAGTTGGTGCATTGTCATGTTTAACGTCAAACTGCTATCTGGACAGTACTGCGAGAGCGCTGTGAAAAAATTTTCAGTCCTGTCATCTCTCCTGGGACTAGCAAGGCTGTCAAAGCTAGTTTGACTGAGGCAGCTGCGTGTTTTTGGAAATACGCAAGCTGTTGCATGCACTCTCCAGCTGTTGAAATAGTAAACTCAGTGCTTTTTTTTTTTTTTCCCCCTTTTGAAGGAGGGTGGAGGGAAAGGGAAGGGAATCCCTGTTCCTGTTTCAATAAACTGCGAAACAAATAACTTCTAGTTGACATTTTCCTTTCTTATGATAGTTAATGTTAGAGAATTGGTGGCTTTATTTTTCCCCCTTCATGTAAGCGAGAATGGTGTCCAAACAGTATTTCATCAGGGCATTTACCCCTTAGGGCTTTCCCATGGGCGTGGGGAGGAATAACTTTGTGAGTGCTTTCAATTTGCCCTCACCCTTCCTACCATGTAACGGAGAGGGCCTTGACTTAAAGGCGGTGACTTGACTCTTCAGTTGCTCTACCTTTTTGAGGCACTAATTTTTTCAATTATTTGGTTTTGTATTTGACTGTTTCTCTTAGGAGAACATTTTGTTTCCTGCTCAGTTTGTAACTGGCTAGAATGTTCCAAAGTCAGCAGTCTAGAGCCCTGGGTGAGGAGTTTGGGTCGTGCTTTAAGTCACTACCACTGCTCTTAGGGACAAAAAACCTTTAGAACTTGGAGTCCTGCCTGTCCCATGCTGGAGCGCACAAGAACGTTGATGAGAGTCCTACCAGAGTGCAATTCTGCTTCTTGGAAATTAAGGTAAATATTTCCCTCCTCTGTCCACTGTCACTTGGTTGTTTTGGTTTTTTTTTTTAGTTTTTTTTCCTCTCTAATAGTTTGCACCTCAGTCCTGTCAACTTTGTTCAAGAAAAAAATTCCGCCTTATTTCATAATGTTTATGTACATGAGAAGATAACATTTATCTTAATCTTTTCCTGTGCTACAGATGCAATGGATCAGCTTGAGCAGAGGGTAAATGAATTTTTTATGAACGCAAAGAAAAACAAACCTGAATGGAGAGAAGAACAAATGACATCAATCAAAAAAGTAAGGATATCACAGGAGTGGCTCACATTTTTCTTTTGCAAACAAAGATAACCTTAGGAAAAAAAATAGCTTATGATTGATGGAGACTTAAGTGTTCAGAACTGTGACTTCCCTTGGGCTTTCACAGAGATGGATAGAACTACCTAGGAGGAGAAAAATGACTGGAAGGTTTCTTTGATCAAGTGTTTCTCTCAAGTTTTACCAAGTGTTTGCTAGCATTTTAAAAACTGTGGTCTTGAAATGGTGAGGAAACCAGATACTACATTTTCAGCTCAGACTTTTTGTTTTTGCTTGTGTGGCATGAAGTTACATAAGTTAATTGGCTTTCTTTTAGAGGATGTTCTTCAAGCTTAGCTTCAGCATTTCCTGTGATTCTGCTTGTGTCATTATATATGTTATAGATACGGTATATGTAGCTTTAGGGAGGGAGGAAGAAGATGATGGATGTGTTGTGTTCTATCCTTCAACTCTCAGGCATTGGTAGTGGTATTGTTAGCAAGGTAGTCCATCATTTTGTCAGGAGAAACTCCTTTGTAGTCTCCTACACTTGCTAATTCAGCCCCTTATTTGGCCAAGGGTGGGGTTTTTCTCCTTAATTAATACAAATAGATTTCTGTATTTAAAAAGAGAAGGAGTCAAAGCTCTGACTTCACTAGAGAAAATGAAAAATTTACTTTTTACTTTAGTTGAACCAAAATCTCAAGTAGGTTTTGCTTAAGCTAGATAATCTTCAGTGGAAATTGAGAATAAAAAGGCACTTAAACCTGTTTAAATCCAGAGTAAAACCATGTGTAAACGTAGTTTTTTAAAAATAGAAAAATTTTGGCTGTGGATTTTCATTAGTGAGACCAGACTTTAAAATTGGATTTCTTTAGTCAAATTATTTAATTATACACTTAGAAGTTATATAAGTGTATTTTAAAATAATTTAAGCTATAAACCGTACACATCTTTATCTCTATTTAACTACAGTACTGGAAAGGCCTCCCCTCACATTAACATAATTTTGAAGGGCAGTAGTATCCCTAGTGCTCCTAAAGATCCATATGAAGTAAAAGACATTATCTCATTTTGAGTCTATAACTTTATGCTGTTTAATATAAAATAAATCCAAGACTGTTTCTTTTTTTGTAGCATTTCTTGCTGAAATCTAAATATAACTGTAGGAGGAAGCGTCCACATCTTGTGCTTTGGCTTTTTCTAAGGCACAAACAATAAATTGATACACATTGTATCTCTCATCTGAAATTATTCTGATTATAGTAGAGGTTCACAGTCTTTTAGAAAACTGACTTGAATTTCTCCTTTTAACTTACAGTTTGTGCCAGATAACTTAACTGAAATTAATTCAGTCATATTTATAATTTTAAAATAATTCTCTTTATAACAGGATTATTATAAGGCTTTGGAAGATGCAGATGAAAAAGTGCAACTGGCTAATCAAATATATGATTTGGTAAGTTCTAAACGTTTTGATAAGCATTACGGCTGCACTCCCTGTACTGTTACGTCAGGTACATAAAGATGCATTTCATGGTGAAGAAACATTTAATATTTTACTGACTTTAAGAATTTTGTTGCTTTGTGTAGTGCCACTTCAGTACAAAACATAGAGAAATAATTTTAGAAATCGTAAGGCTTTCATGCATGTTGATTTTGTTTTATTCGTTGTTTTCTGAAAATAGACCACAAACAAGTTACTCTTCCTTGTAGTGTGTGGATTTTGAATTTTAAGTATAATTATTTTACATTTTCTCAGAGAATAGAACCTGCAAATCAGAGTGCACTAAAATATAGTAGACATAAACCAACTCTTTCTTGTCTGCTTTAGTTTCACTTCAGCTAACCAAAAGTTAGTTCCTAGAGTTGGAACTTAGCCCCTCTCTTTGGTTAGCTGGTAACTGCCAAAACTTGTTCAATTTTTAGTAGTTTAGAGACAGATGCATTCTGCTGGATGCCTCTGGATGAAGAAAGCGTTTGGGACATAGCAATTTTTTCCATGATACTAAGTTCAGATTATTTTTTGTCGTTCAGTTTCAGTACCCACCAGCAGGTCATAGTTTACTCAAATGCACAGGCGTCTTTGCACTTTCAGTTTAGAAACCCTTTTACTCAACACTTAACTTTACTCATGTGTGTAGAGGCATACAAATTGCAATTTAGTAAACTTCCAATTTCCCCAGTGCAGCCCACCCTCTTCTAAAATGTATGTCATCTACTGTTCTTTCTCTTGCCTTTTCTGTACTCATACCTCCAACACCCCAAAGTCCTCTTCATCTTTTTTCTCAAAAGGAATGCATAATGCTGTATGTGGGAAGCAATAAGAGGAGGGCTTGTAGCTGCTGAGCCAGTGTGCAGCCACTTTTCATCCTGTGATTGACTGCACAGCTTAGGAGCAGCAGCACTAGTGCTGGTTTGGTGTTACCTGTAGTATCTGCTGAGCTAGGGAGATGTAGGTGACCGAGAAGTTGTGCTTCTCTGCGTTTTCATACGTGCTTAGCGCTGCATGGCAAAGAATTGCTGGAAGGGAAATAGTTAGCAAGCCTGAGATTAAGGATGTAGATATTTGTGTTCCAGAACTGGATGCTATTTATTGTTGCTCTGTTTCAAAAACAGGTAGACCGTCATTTGAGAAAACTGGACCAGGAACTTGCTAAATTTAAAATGGAACTTGAAGCAGATAATGCCGGAATTACAGAAATATTAGAGAGACGTAAGTAGGCATGATTTTCTTTAAGAACTTGACAGATCTTCAGTCAATTTGCAAAATTAAAATACCACACACTTGTTGTGGATGGCAGTATTTTCACTTGTTTCAAAATTGTGTTCTAACCCGCACACTTTTCATCAGTCAGTGATTCTCAAATTTTAGATTCAACCTCAGTTTTTACCACTGAAGTCAAAATACAACTGACTAATTTGAATATTTTTTTTCCACATAACTGTTGCATTTGTGGATTGCTATAGTGAGGTACAGAATTCTTTAAACCTGTTCTCAACGACTGTAAGTATTCAGACAAGTACTTCAGCCTAAGCTTGCTGCCTACCCAGTTGAAGGTGTACCATTTCTTACTTTAATTGATTGCCACCAAATTGAGGAGGGTCATTACTTTAGTTACAGGTGTGGAATGTCAAGTATAAGTTAGGTAGTTAGTCTGTGGTTTTCTTGTTTTTTAAAGGGGAGGGAACAGGTTGTTTTGTATTGGGGTAGCGAGGGAGAAGCATTTTGGGTAAGAAACCTGTGTGCTTAACAAATACAGTAATCACAGAATCACAGAATTATCTAGGCTGGAAGAGACCCTCGGGATCATCGAGTCCAGCCATCCACCCTACTCTAAAGTACTCCCCTACACCATATCCCCCAAATGTTGGTATTCAGAATGTGAACAAAAATGGGATGTGGCAGCTTTTGGGCCACCTTGCTGTAGAAGAACCTGGCCTTTCTGTACTCATCAGCATTTAGACATCAAGTTCAAATGTGATTATGATAAATTTCAAAGTTGATGTAACTACTGTGATTATGGAGCTGAGAGGCAGTGACTGTTGTCATATCCAAAGATAGTAAAAAGTAACCTAAATCGCCTGAGGGGATTAGGAATAAATACTCTTTCTTTGAGCTTTGTATGGCTTTGTCATAAAAGCTGGGAGGTTTTAGATATTTTATTTGTAATTGGTATTACAAATAACAAGAACAAAAACTGCTTGTACTGAACTATCAACTATAGAAAAGGACTAGTTTATTTTAGTTGGAATCCCAGCTGAGTTTTAAGATGTGATACTGCCTTTAGTAGAGCTATGTGTTTCGTGAAGTAAGTAGGTTGAATTTCAAGAACTCAAAATAGAAATGTACCAGACTGCATGTTGCATCATTAAGTATTTTTTGTTTGTTTGTTTTAAATATAGTGAAGAGTAGAAGCCTCTTAACATTTTTAGCTTTCGGAGTAAATACATATTGTTGAGGTTCCGCCAGAGGGCAGCCTTTGGACTAGTTCATAACATGATTAATGTTACCTCAGCCAAAATGCCTTCCTATGCTTTGAACCTCTTCTAGAGTAATTTTCTTTAAACTTTTGTAATACAATACACTCGTGTACTTCTTGAAAGTACTGAAAAAGAAAGAGGTAAAGAAATGTTGAAGCTACAGATTTTGAAAAATGATTGTGAATTCTTTGTTGAATTGTCTTCTGTATAATATAAGTTGGTAGGTATTGCAGCTAGTTCAAAATCTTTTTGCCAAAGGTTGATACACAAACTGTTTTATATTGTTCTAATGGAAATTTATGATCAAAGTCTCTCCTATGCTCTGATCGTTCAGCCTCATGGCTAGTATTACAATAAATGGTTTCTTAGACATAGACTTGCATTTGTGCCAGCAACCACCACACACACACAGCCACCCCCCGCCTTTTTTTTTTTTCCTGTTTTCTTTTGGATTGTTGCTCTCTGTATTTTGAATGTTAAGAAAATATGGATACTGATCTGAAGGCTTTCCCATTGAATGTTAGATCATCTTGAAAGACATTGCTAGCGCTTGTGTGTTTTGACTCCATGATACAAGATGGACTCAGTGGGATAAAATGCCTCATTAATACAGTTTACCTGTTACAGTCTTCTTTCTTTCCAATTCATACTGGTGTAAATTGTCAGTACTTTTAGTGCAGCATTTTCCAACCATCACCAGCTGCTATGCAACTCGTTTGAATGAGTGGCATGTAGAGGGCAATATTGTTGCTTGTTTTCCTTACTGGCCTTGATTTTTACCTTCTCGATTTCAACAGTTGAATAGTAACAGTCCCAATTTTTATTTTAAAACTGTTCTTTTCACTGGCTCCTGGTTGTACTACAAGAAGGGTTTCAACTCACAATAAATATAATTGCATAGTAATTTGGTTAATATTATAAAGATTCATTTAGTGTCTGAAAGTCAAAACCTTGCCAATGGTGACACTGAAATTTTCCTATCCTTTTCACTACCTTCTTAGGGTCTCTGGAGCTGGATACACCGTCACAGCCTGTGAATAACCATCACGCCCATTCACACACTCCAGTAGAGAGTAAGTATTTGAGACTTAAAAGCATGTCAACTTTTATGTTTCCTTATTTTTGTTGAGTAGTGTAAGGAAAAAAATGTTGAGAACTTTTTGTCTCCAATCATCGGGGGGAAAAAAACTGGCATAATGCAATGATAGTAACGTCTATTCAGAAGAAGTGCAAGAATGAAATAATAAGGTTTTCCTGGTGGAAAAGAGTTGAAAGTGTTTTTTTTATTGTGCCTATATATGGTTTGACTTTCAAGCTGAAAAGGTTTTTCCATTGAAGTTCCTTTTATTTGTTTCATTTAGAAAGGAAACACAATCCATCTTCTCATCACAGTACAACAGATCACGTTCCTGAAAAGAAGTTTAAATCTGAAGCCCTTCTATCTACCCTTACTTCAGATGCTTCTAAAGAAAATACACCAGGTAATCTTCATTGTCTTGCATTTTACTACTTTTTGATCGGAAGAAGAGAAACCCAATTATATCTGTGAGTTATTGTCTCAGAGGCTCATACCCTTTCCTCTGGGATTCTCAGTCATTTGAAACATGAGAAGTTATAGGCATTGTTACTCATCTGTGTTGTCCATAAAGTGCATCAGCTTTGTTGTCATGTAACAGCTGCATGTTGGCTATTTCTTTTTATTTACACTGCTTGCAAGAAGATAACAGTACATTCAGCCAATAGTAGAAATAAAAGAGATCAATGCGTTATTATTTTGGGAAAAAGAAATGCATGCAACAATTTCCAAGGTAAAGGAATAGATTATTATTTTTTTCCCCACTGTTTCTCTTAAGGGTTGGTCTGACATGTCATTCAGCTACAATAAAATAGAATTTTTTGGTGTGTTGTCTATTTCAAAAGAGGTGAGAAGTCTTTTTGAGTAGTGAATAAAAAAAACCTCACAACTTCTTTCCCATTTTCAAAATTAGGGTGTTTCATAGTTTCTTTTCTGAAAATAAAAGATCCTGAGAGGTTATAGTAAGTAAACTACTTTATGTTTTGTCATTCAGTGCTGTTCATCAGCTTTGAGTAGTCTCCCTTATATCCATTTTACTTTTCTTTTGAAGAAATTTTACATGAGATGGCAAATAAAATGTAACTATGTTTGAGCAGGTTTCAGTCTGTAAATGGCCATGGAAATCTGTATTGCATTAAAACTGTGATTTACAGTTTTTAGAATGAAAATTGTGAAAAGATTTACTTCAAAACAGGATAGGTGTGCAATCAAATTCCTACCGTCTTCTTGATGGCGCAGTAATCAGCATCATTTCAACAGAGATTGGGTTGGTACCGATACAGCGGCTGCATCAGTTCCTTGATAGCTGAATATAATAGGACTTTCTCGAAGGACTCCTTGCACATGAGGATAGGTGCAGAACAAACTTTTTTTTTTTTTTTTTTAAGCCAGTACTGGCTGTGTCAAATGACTTCTTAAACTTTTTTCCAAATGATCAGATTGCTCTGATACATAAACGGAGTTCCCGCTCTTTCACTGGTTATCATATATAACTCTTCTTAAAATGCAAAGGAATTTAGTTTCATTTTGAATTTCATGAATGTGTTCTGTTCATCAAGGGTGTCGAAACAGTAATTCATCATCCTCTTCAAACAATGCATACAATACAAACTCTTCTCAACCATTGGCATCATATAACCTGGGCTCATTATCTTCAGGATCTGGGGCCGGTGCAATTACCATGGCAGCAGCTCAAGCAGTGCAAGCCACGGCACAGGTAATGTTAAAACATTCTTGTCATTCTGCCATCCCCTGCTGATTAAGACGGAAGACTAGTGATTTTATTTTTTAATCTGAATTCCCATGATCACTTTCAGCTGATGTGATTGAGTTCTTATTTTTGTTTGTATGCTACAGTTTCATCCTGTAAAACTTGCATAAAGGGACAGATTGTTTTCTCGCTCTTCCTGTGGGATGTTCTTACACCTTCTTACCACTTACATAATTTTGTTAACAGGGTGACTAATGAACCTGTGCAAATAATTAGCAGTTAGCAGCTTGGTATGTGTCTCCTGTAAGAGCTCTGCTGTGTGATCTGACACATTATCAGTATTCCTTTTAGATGAAGGAAGGAAGACGAACATCCAGTCTAAAAGCCAGCTATGAAGCATTTAAGAACAATGATTTTCAGCTTGGAAGAGAATTTTCATTATCCAGAGATTCAACTGGCTATTCATCATCAGCTCTGGCATCTACATTAACACAGACATTAAGTTCATCAACCACAGATTCACGAAGTGGCAGAAAAAGCAAGTAGGTTTTCTTACTTGTTGGCTGCAATTACAGCTTTTAACACAGCTAAGCTTTCTCTTAAAGGTACTGGGCCATGACCTTATAATCACAATGCTCACTTTGCAATGGTTGACCATCTAGGACAGGAAACAGTTTTATTTCTCATTAAAATGAAATTTAAAAACATTTTAAACAAAACAATGTCACGGCACAATGTGGCAACAATCACAAATTTTACTTGAAGGAGTTTGTCTCAAAATGCCCATCCTTTTAAAAAACTTGATTTGTGGTAGTTTTTCTTTTCTTACATATGAATTTGTGTGTGTTCACAGCTTGGTTAGTAATTTTGTCTTAGAAGCACTTTTCATCTACTGCTATCTTGGGTGTCAGATCTGACCTATAAGCAAAAGCATAGAATTTGTATTCTGGCACTGTTCCTGTGGAGGGACTGGGGATGCTTGAGTGGAGATTAGCTTTGAGTCAGTCATCTTCAAAACACAGTTATCTATTGTACATGACATATGACATTATTTATATGTAAATTGCCATTTTATTGGTAACATAATTTTTATGGAGATTTTACAACAAGGCTGTTGATGGCCAATTTTGTGAAGGAAAAACATTCATTAAAGCCATTTGGCAGTTTAAAGCTGTTCAATTCCATTGATGAGAATAGTGTGTCTTGCACTTGTAACTGGTAAGACTTGTTTCCTCTTCCCAAGAGCATTGTGTTCATTTCAGTTCTTGCAGTTGGTGAATGAAATCTGTTAGGGAATGATGCTTTGGGATTTACATATTGCAGTGTTTCAGAGTCAACAAAGTACTTGTTTTGTGACGCTTTCACTTGGCAGGAAATGAATTTAAATTATGATATGATTTTATTATTTGTTTTCTTTTTCAGAAACAACAACAAATCCTCAAGTCAGCAGTCCTCATCATCATCTTCTTCTTCGTCTCTGTCATCATGTTCTTCTTCATCTGCACTGGCACAAGAACTGTCTCAGCAAACAGCAGTAATACCAGAGTCTGACTCTAATAGCCAGGTGGACTGGACCTACGATCCAAACGAGCCACGATACTGCATTTGTAATCAGGTGAGGATGGCTTCCAGCCTGAGACAGAGCTAGAGCTGCTGTTTTGCTGCTGTAGTTGAACTTCCTTGTTCTGATTGCTAATTTTAAATCATTCTATTTGCAGTCTTCTGAAATCCTGATCTGTTTTTATTTACTTATTGGTGGTGTGAATAATGAACTCAACTGTTGAAGCTAAAAACAAGGAATTTTCCAGTGATGTGACATACCTGGAGAGTTTAAAATCTTAATGAACACTGCAGTAATAATTAAATCCAAAATTGAACCGGTTCACAGTGAATTTAGTTTAAATTCTAAGTTAGTAAGGAACTTGCCTGCTCTCTCCTCCCTTCCTTTAAAAAAACAAAAAAACCCCAAATGCCAAAAAACTTCACAAATGAAAAAAAAAAAAAAAACCAAACAGTTAAATAAAAACCTAGTTTTGTAAAAGCCACCTGGAAACTTGAGAGACTGAATGACAACTTGAGAAACTTGCATTTAAAGTGCCTCTTCTTATTTTGAACGCTTTTAAGACTGTTGGCTTTCTTTTGATAGTTTCCTGTAAAGTGCTTGAAACTGTCATGTGTGCAAGGGAAATGCCAGACATCAACATAACCTTGAAAACTGGAACGAAAATGTACTGAGCTCTGTTATTTAGACCAAAATGTGCTTCATTCAGGTTTTGAATGCTGACCTTTTTTATCCACCCAGAAATAGGCAGAAATATCTTTTTCTTTTTTTTCGCGTAAAAAAAAAAATAAATACTGAAATCAGTTTGCTGTGAACATGTTCTTTGGGTTGTGTAACAAAAGAAAAATCAAAATATTGTTGCTGCTGTTAATGGAAAAACTCCTCAAAGGAAGAAATTTGAACTTTAGCCCTTTGAAAACACTGAGTGCTTTTAAGTAGTAATATAATTATTAATAAGGGGATTTCTTTCTTATTTCCTAGGTGTCCTATGGTGAAATGGTAGGCTGTGATAACCAAGATGTAAGTAACCAAGATCAAAAGGTTTTTGAGAGCTTTGTGCATGTAACTATTTCTTGCAGGAGTTGCTTTTCTTTAGCGTTTTTTAGAGTAATGTGCATATGAGCTGCATCATTCTTAGGGATTTCTCATCTGTCCCTGCAGTTCAGGTTCTTTTAGAAGGCTTTATCTTTCCTTTACTGGGAAAGTTTGACATCTTTAAAATGCCCTTTATTTCTAGGAACCTTTAGCTGTGTCACTGCTGATATCAATTGTCCCATTAAAAAAAAAAAACATTGTAAAAGAACAGTTGAATGTAATCATGCATTTATTGAGATACTACATTTAAAAAGAAGTGTTACAAGATTACTGTTGTGTCACTTACTGTTGTTAACTAAGTCTTTTGAAGTACGATGTACTTCTTTTGTTCTGTTATGTGAGTTCATGTATTACTCCTAGGATTGTTACTGCTTTTCCCAGTCTGTTGGGTATATGTTAAGGACTGAGGTCCTCCTCTCTTCTTGTCCCATGGCTTTGTCTGAAAAGCAGAATCTAAGCTTTTTAGTCGTGCTTCATTTTCATAGAATTGTATTTGTGACAGTTGTTTCAAAAAAACCCCTAAAAACTAAATCTCAAACTTTCTCTTTAACTCTGTTTTCATAGTGCCCCATTGAGTGGTTCCACTATGGCTGTGTTGGACTGACAGAAGCCCCGAAAGGGAAGTGGTACTGTCCCCAGTGCACGGCTGCCATGAAGAGGAGAGGCAGTCGGCATAAATAAAGTTGCTGTGTCTGGAAAACAAATTGCATACTATAGGTTTTATAGGGGACTCGGGAGGGGAAGGAACCCCCCACCACATTTCCTTGCAACCACTTAAGGGTTAACATAGCAGTCATAAGATCTTGAACTATTGATTTTGCTAGTTGTGTTTTAATATTGTAAGTAAATTATTTATGCACATTAATGTGCTACAGATACTATTCCAGTGAGCCTTGGATTGTTCCAGTGGCCGACATATGCAGACATTTGTACTATCAGACCATTTTCTCTAAGCAGTGGGCATTCTACAATTACTCAATCTTCAAAGAATTCCAATAAGTCCAGATTTTAAATGTATGTTTTATATTCAACAGATATATTCTGCTGCATGTACTGTACTCAAGAGCTGTTATGTAACACTATGTATATAAATGGTGCAAAAAGTCAGTGCTTCTGAAAAAAAAAATATGAGACAATGGTTTTTAAAATGCCTTTATAGCTTTGGTTCTTTATGAAACTTAATTCAGCAGGCTGAAGAAAATGGTTCTTGTATACAGCGGGCTGTTGTCCTCTAGGGTACTTGAGTATGTAAAAACAAACAAAAAAATGCTGTAGAATAAAATGAACTTGTGCCATTAGTCTTTATATGTTTCTGCCCCAGAGAAGGTGCAGGCCATAAGAGGAAAAAAAAAAAAAAAGGTGTTAAAGTGATGATAAATTTTTATACCAAATGTGTTTATTTTTTTGTGCAAGTAATCCTTTAAATTTGAATTGTATTAGGTGTTAAAATAAAACAACCTCAACTCCTCAAATTAATGTTTCCGGTACATCTGTCAAAAAAGAAAAGGGTTGTGCCCGAAATGGTTTGGCAAGACTGCAGTTAAGTTTAGGTAAGGAATTGCTACACAGGAGCCGTGGGGAGGCTCATTGTACAGGTGGGGTCTCTCTGGTGATGGGCAGATGATCAAGTGTCACTTGCCTCTCTCTGCCTGGCTCCAGACAGTAAGTGGCACCTGTTTCAATGAGCACAAAACTTCTGTTTTCCAAACAGTTAAAACCAAAAATATCTACCGTGTCAAAATTGATCCCCAGTCAGGATTGTCTTCCTATTTCCATGGCACGGGTGGAAATGGGAAGGGGAGAAGGAAACCATGGCACGCGCCTCTTGGAGCTGCCGAGTTCCTTCCCAGACAGTGCTTTTCGTGTCAAAAGTAACAGGGTTCAGGCAAAAAGCAAGGGGATTCCTGCTCCTTGCGGGCCCCCTGGGCTAACAGAGGGTTGTGTTAGGAAGCCTAAACACAGCCCCAGAAATGGACCTGAGCTGGGAGTTGTACGTTTTGCGATGCAGGATCAGAAAACTCAAAATTAGATCCTTGGCCATGAATATACGGGAAAGATTTTCCATATTTTTTCCCCACTTGCTTATTTTGGATGTAGTTTGTAGATTTCCTTTCACTGACAATTTCCTTTTGTTGTTTTTATACGGCTCTTTCACGCAGCAGCACCGAACAGAAACAAGATTATTACTCCTTTTTTTCTCCTTCCTCCTTCCTTCCACTACTAAAAAAATACACTTTCCCTTTGGAATAAAGATTTTACTTCAGCACTGGGTTGCTGTTTGGGCTGTCGCTTTCCAAAGGCAGGCACAGGGGAAGGAGGGAGAGGGAAGCAGTGGTCCAGGGCCTGAGTATGCAAATAGTGTCCAGGACATAGGAGCTGGGCTCAGCAGCAATAGGAGTATGGGCAGAAAATGCAGGCTTTACCTAAAACAAAGTTAAGCCAGGCTTGTGTCCCAATATTTATTTAAAAACAAACAAACAAAAAATAGGCATTTTAAATCCATGAACTGGGTAATAGTAGATACATAAGAAGGAAAGTGGGATGATGGACGATAAGGAGACTTTGGTGAAATAACAGGGTAGAAGTGAGTGAAAGTAAAGGGCAAAGAGCAGCGTAACTGGGGTTCCATTAAAACTGGGAACTGAACCTGCTGTGCGTGTGTTTCGGTGGAAATCTCCGTCTAAAAAAACCACTCGAGGACTGGAATATCTGGTTTTAAGAGAGGCTGTTGAGACCGTAGAGATAACAGACTATTTGTTCTGTTGGAAACTGGTGCCATGCTATGAACTGAAGTTAAATAAGCGACGGGTAATGGAGACTCCCCTCGGACTGAGTGGCTGAGTCTCTAGGGTGAAGAAGTACGCCCAGTAAGAATTAAGAACATACATAGCAAAACGTGCCTCGCTCTGATGGTTAACTGTACCTCAGATGCTGCAGAGACTGCAAATTCGGATCCAGATTTTAATTTTTACTGTGAGCATCGGTTCACTGTTTAATTAGCCAATATAAATTATATTTTCATGAAGGAGCTAGAGAATTTACAAGAAGAAAAAACGTACCTTTGTCCTCATTAGTAGAGTGTGATTTTGTGGCTAAGTTGAAAAAATAGAAATAACACAAATGTTAAAAATGTGGAAAAATTGCAATACCTAAGACAAAGGTGTAGAACAATAAAACCTGTACTTGCCTTTGTTTTCCTCTAAGCAGGGCTCCTGTGAGGGAAGCTTAAGGATCAGCACATGATTATGGAGCAAAAAGGACTGAAAATTTGCAAGACAAGCAAAATAATGTCTTCCGTGTGCAAGAGATTAGCTAAATGTGACTAGCAGGGCCCTTCTGAGGTTGTCTGAGGGCTGCTCTCAAAGGCAGCCCACCTACAGAAGTGGGGCTGCAACAAATCGGTGGGACCAAACCTGCCTGAGAGTTCTAGAAGAACTCGTGAATGGATTACCTGAGCAATTATTATGAATTTTAGTTGTCTAAAGGAATGAAAAGTGATAAAAACATGCCAATTTTTAAAAAGCTTCAAGTCAGATCTGCATGCTTAATTTTTATTTATTTGTATGTTGATAAAAGCTGATAAAGGCTAGAATTAGTCTATGTGTGAGTCGTTAAATTTTGGCAGTCCTTGGGAAGCTTCACTGAGTAGATGAAGAACCCCAGGTTGATGTATGCAGAGGCTCTCAGTAGTTTCCTTAAAAAACAGTGATGTGCTGGTTGGAGAGGGGAGATCCCTTAATGCTGTGTGGCTATTTGCGAAATAGAATAACAGAAGAGTAAAGGAATAAGTTAGCAATATTCCCAAGAAAGAGAGGCAGCTGAAGGAGCCCAGCAGGACTCCTCTGCTCAATGCATCCATAAAAGGTCAGTTAAAGGGGGGTAGATAATTTGCACTTATGTTGCGTTCTCAAAAATTATAAAAATGGAAAGTGTTAAAGTAGCAGAACGATCTCATGATACTGAGTGATAAGACGGAAGATGTCATTCAACATTTGCTAAAATAATGCAAATATAAAAGAATATATATAGTAATACTTAATTTGCCCGCAGGTGGGGCCTCTGAAACAGGTATTGCCGCGTAGGAATGCGATTTTGGAGTTTTTCTATGTAATTCTCTGGAAACACCATCTCATTGCTCAGCAGCAGGTCAGGCGACTGCTACGAATGACTCAGCAGGAGATAAAAGAATAAAAGAGAAAAGAGTTTTACACCGTGTAAATTGATGTGCACCCAGCACGGCATGCTGTCTGCCACCAGACACCGGGTTAGGTGACCCTTCGGCCTCCTGCAACGCAGCTGGGTTTACTTCCACCTCAACATCCCAGCGTTTGGGTGAGTTTTGAGGATGAGGAGGTATTTGTGGCACCACAAATGGAGAAGTGATGTGCTTGAGCACTGTAGCAGCACAAAAAGAGGTCTTTGCCGTCTAAACTGTGTTGTCCATTTGCATTGCGAAGAAGTAGTAGTTTTTCTCAGGTGTAGATTCTATTTATTCTAGGTCTGAAATAGAAAGAGGAAATACACTTCCTGCTTTGAAAGTCCTGCTGGGTTGTCTCGCTGAAGAGCACAGAGCCATTTGCATTCTTCCCTTTTTTACTGAACTTCGCAAAATGTTGTTCAACCACGCACAATAAAGAGTAGAAGTCCTGGGGTTTGTTTTCCCCTGCCCGTTCCCCCTCACCAGGGAGGGATGTCCCACTGGTCCCTGGCTTTTCCTGGCAAGTTTTGTCACCTCCTGCCTCATCCTGCGGGGACGTCTGGACCCTGCACTTTCTGCGTGTGATGGATGTGGCAGGTGACAGAAGGAGGACCCGGGTGGCCTTCACCTTGACAGCAGAGGGTTCAGCCTTGTGCTTACACTAGGAGTCTCTGAGAGGCAGACCAGCAGGAGGGAGAACAGCCTGGCTTTTTGCACATGTGTAAACACAAATAACTAAAGTTAAGCCACACTCTGTGACCACTGTCTCCACAGTCCCATTGCTCTCCCCAGGACTGCCTAAAATGCACTGAGAATGATGTAACTAAAACAGGAAAAATGCCACGCGTCGGTGTATCCGTAGCAAGGCACAGTGATATTCCTCTAGCTCTTTCAAATACGTATCTTGCTTTTATACTCGTTACATTCGACAAAGACCAGCAGCAGCTTTTTCCTCTAGATGTATCTTGTATTTAGGAGCTACTTGAGCAAGCAAAAGTGGTCAACAAGTTGCACGATTCCTTACAGACCTGTGCTTGCAGACGGCATGTCTTAGATTTCAGAAAAAAACAACAGTTTCCTACATTAGTTCACAATAGATTATATTATAACCATGAGTTAATATAATATAATAATTATGTAATATATATTAAATATATAATAATGATATATAAATATAATAATAATTATAATATATAATATATTATAACCATGACTTTAACTTTTGCAAACTGTATTCCTTTTGTTTATTCCAAAAAAAATAATCCTTAAGGTATTGAAAAAAAGCCTTAGCATATTACAACTAGAGTAGAGAAACTTCTTGCTTCATGACCGTACAAGAAATTACATCTAGGTAATGGGGTAGAAAGCGAGGAACAATGTTAGGATCCACAGCTCTCTTAACATTTTTAAAGCCCTAATACTTATTTGAACCTTGTACCTTATATAATGAGAACTTCTGAGTGTTGTGACTGCTCTGCTCCTTACTAAATATTTATTCAGCAATGCCCTACACATTGAATCCAATCTGTACACCCACATTTATGGAACTGGCTACTGCAAATTAAGTTTTACTGAAGTTTAAGAGTTCAATGAGGGGATTTGTAACTAAATATAGTAGATGCAGTTATTCAGTTACAATTTCTATATTTTTCATAAAAATAACAACGTTTGGGGGAATTCTAAGTATACTCTTATTGCTGAACACAGGTTTATTTATTAGGTTGACAGTTAATGTGGTTTCCCTAATTAGGGTTATATTAAGCCCTTCTTTCTAGAAGAATAAATAATAGTAAAACTGTATTTCCATGCATGAGAACTGGTGAGACAGAAATAGGGGTGCAATGCAAAGCTAATTTTATATTGTTTCCACCTGTGGAATTGTGGCCCTGTGACTTCAAAGCCAGTTTTATTATTTCTTTTCAGGAAGAGACATGTGGGAGAGATGTTTGGATAAACTTTGCAAGCGGGAGGGTAGTTAAGTGCTGGAACGGGTCAGTCAGGGAAGTGCTATGGAACTAGACAATCCTTGTCAGAAATACAGGAATATTTTTCCCTGTGTTCATAAAAGAAATGTTTTTTACAGCTCTATTTTCTTTTATTTTGTTGAGACTAAAATGACATTGTTTCTGTGTGGGGACAAAAATAAGTGCTCAGCATTAATAAATGTTCAGTTACATGGTTGGCTTGAAAAGGTGACAGTATGGAGCGTTCCTCTGTGATGAATTCATATGGATATGGTATTCCTGAGTTTAAAATGTGCTTAATTTCTCTGTT